GCAATTGTTGGCTAATGTAGTAAATTGCACAGCAAAGCAACAAGGCTCGGGTTTGTTTATAAACGTTAGCATGGGTGACAACACAACCATTTTGACTAACATGCAAATATGCCGTATAAAATAGTTGTATAAACGTTTATGCAACAGTTAAAAATTTGCCCTATAAAGTGTTGTATAACTAGGTATGCTATAAGAATATTTTAACACTCATTTTAGAGCAAATATGTTGCAGAAGCCAATCTGCATTCCACACAACATTAAGCCAGCATTTTGGTGTTCAGGCAACAACAATAGAGAGCTTTTATAGCTGAACGGTTCTTTTACCAAAAGCTTATACCACTACTTTGCTAGTTGGGGTACCACGTATTTTAGACTAAAAATAAGTCGATTGGACATGATTAACTACTAAGCAAAAGCCCGTTTTACATTTTGAATATTTGACTTCAACAAAACACTCTAAAGGGTTTGAAAAGGGTGAAAACCACCCCGATCCATACATGAATTATAGCTCAGTGCTTTTGGAAACTTTACCCGACGATTTTTTTATTTATCAGATCCTTTTATTTACTTCATTTTTTGTCTCCGATAAAAACTGTAATCTCGGAGGGTTTTCGAGAAAAAAATTGAGTTGTATCAGAAACCATACAGCAGTCTGTTCGTCAAAAGAGTATTCCATATTCACGAGAAAAACAAGTAACAACAACTGAAACTGAACAACAAATAATCTCAAATGTTAATAAATTCAAAATTTATGAAGAACAATCAACAAATCAAAAATAAACTCAAAAATTACTTATTAATTTAAACTTATGAAGCTTGTTAATGTAATAAGAATTTTTTTTAGAAACTAGCTCCAAAAAACATTTTGAAAACTGCAAAAATGAGGTAGATAACTATTTATCTTTGATAAAAGTACATTACAAAAATCATTTTGCGAAAAAGTCTGCTATAATTTATGTAGGTGTGGGGGTAGTTTTCACCCTTCTCGAACTATTTAGGTTTTTTGTAGATTTCAAATACTAGTATGTCTAGTAAAACACATGTTTTCCAAATTTCAGTTAAATCGGACTATAGGTATCCAGAAATCTCCGACAAATGACGCGCTTTTGTATAGAAGTAAATCATGTCCAATCGACTTATTTTGTGTCTTAATGAATATTGAGATACTCTGTAGTTCCACCTGCTGCGATCCGACAACGTCTCATTGCTCGCAAAGTTACAGGGAAACTCCGTTTTCTTGCTCCGGCAGCATTTTTCTAGGTGGAAAAAGAACCTTAGAAACTGTTTCCTAAGGTTGTCCGATTTCGCTTTGTAATGCTTGAAAAAGCCTACCAATGGTAATTTTCAATGCTCAAAAATCCAGTTAAAAATGGCCTTTGACGTTACCAAATATCTGAATCATAGTACAATCCTTCCCCTACGACCCAGAAGAATATTTCAAGCTGAGTAATATTTATTTTGTTTGGTAGGCTAAAAAAGGCGAACTTTGATTTCGTAGACTACGGGCCAATTTCACCAACAACAGTCCGTTATTCTCCACCTATAGGGTAACAGGCCGTCAGATACAGCGAATGAGCTTCAAGTTCCAATCAACAAATTTTAGCAACCAATAGCTATGAAATGTGAAAACAAAATACTGTCTTAGTATGAGATGACAACTTGTCATTCAAACATCACCAGCGTATCGAATATCAAAAAATTACATATAATTCTATCAAAATTTTAAGAAATGTTTGATTTTTGAATTAAATTCATGTTTTAATTACTATTGTTGATTTTTATTATTCTTATTATATTATTTTCTTCAATTGATATGTGATACTGGGTGTTTTTTTCTATAAACCTCTTGCAGATAGCCATTAAGCACTTACTTGATGACAGGCTACCAAAAGATATTG